CAGCATCCATTTTATATTTATTATCTCGATTACTCTTTTGTCCTTCATTGTGTGATTTTCCTGCTGTCTATGTGTTTGTCGAGTGTTATTGTTTGGATGTGATCTCTTGTTAGTAGAGAATTGACCTATATATATATATATATATATATATGTATATACACTGCTGTCTGTAAAAAATGCAACACCATGAAGGAATCATCAGAATTGAATGAACTTTGCAGCAAATATCAATTATAAGATGTTACCTAAAGTAGTAAAGTTTCAGAGTCACCGCGCGTACATGGCGTGCGCAGCGTCCTCTGAACTGATGCTGAAAGCGTATAAATAGAGGGTTGTAGTGGGACGTTGAAAATAGTTAATGATTATTTGTTAGTGGCGAACATTTAGTGAGACCTAAGTATGCCTCCACGATGAAATAAGGAGAAATTCCAAGAACTTACGGAGTTTGAACGGGGGAAGATTATCGGTCTTTGAGAAGGTGGATTTTCCTATCGCGCAATAGGCGCTCGTATGCAGTGGAACAGTTCCACAGTGATGCGAGTTTGAAAGCAGTGGACGGCGAACACAGAACAACCCGAAAAACTGGCAGTGGACGACGGGAGGTGAAGTCAGCGCACGACGATCGACACCTGGCGATGAATGACAGTACAGCTTCCTCCAGGCAGTTGGTAGGACGTTGGTCTAATGCTACAGATGTAATAATGTAGGCTTCGTCAATTTATGGATATTTGCTGCACCGTGGATTGCGTGCAAGGGTGCCATTATACTGGATCCCTCTCACGGCAAACCATCGACGTCTGCGTCTGCAAAGGGCTCTTGAGCACAGAACCTGGCAAGCTGATTGGCACCAAGTTGTCTTTTCAGATGAATCACACTTCAATTTGTGGGACCATGATGACTGCATTCGTGTTAGACGTTATACCAGTGAATCGTGCCTTCCAGAGGGCGTTATCGAACGACATAATGGGTTAACACCCTGAGTTATTGTTTGGGATGCGATTTCATATCATGGACGATCCAATTTGCTACAAATTGAGGGTAATCTTAAGATCAACATGTAAGTCCGCTACAGCCCGAAGTCGTTCCCTTCCTTCAAGGCATCCCTGCAGCTATCTTTCATCAGGATAATGCACGCCCACATGTTGCAAAGACTGTTCGAGACTTCTGTTCAGCCAACACATGCATTTTTTTTCCTTGGCCTGCTTAATCGTCGGATCTGTCGCTTATTGAGCCCATGTGGGATTTCAAAGGTCGGTGTCTCGCTATTGATCCGCGTCCTGCAGCTTCAAAAGACGAACTTCTGCTGCGCATTTAAGCAATATGAAATTCTCTTCCTCAAGCAGACATTCAAAATCTGTTTGACTCCATGCCACTTCGTATAGCAGCACTTATTGCAGCGCGTGGTGGCTACACTAAATAATGATTTCGGACGCTTAATATTGTTTTTTTGCTTTGAAAATTTCTTCATTTATTTGTACTAATACCAGTCGCTTATGCATTAAATTTCATTTCATTCTGATGATTCCTTTATGGTGCTGCATTTTTTACAAACAGCAGTTTATATAATATATATAAGAATTTATATATATATAATAATTGAAGTAGAATTATCTTTTACTCCCCCTCGTAATCCCCTCCCAACTAAACCATTTTTAGTTGACCTTTACTCAATAAAATAAAAATGCTTGTTAAATTACGTCTAAATCTAATAGATGAAAAACGGAACTTTTTTATCAATAACCACCTTTGAGAGTCAATTTCTGTAAGACCCGTTCAAGAAACAGGATTAATTCAATAACAGAGACGTACGTACTAAATTTCATTACTAGCAGTTCTAAAACAAGTATATTTTTTTAATCAATAAGCCTCAAAAGATTCCCTTTCCCACATAGGAGTCGATTTCCAAAAGTTTTCATTACAGTGTGACGGGCCTTTATCGCATTTTCATACTAATCCTCTTGGGGAATCTTTGAGGCCATCATTGAGTTATTTCACAGCTAATCCTCTCAAGAAGAAACCATGATATGTAGATTAGTTAGCAGATATATAGTGGGGTTTTAGTATTCGCGAGGTGGAGAGAGAAGGAGAAAGGAAGCTGAGATGCTGAACGCCGTGAGCTGATGGTAATTAAACTTAGAGCGTAATTATAAAACGGGATTATCGAATTAAGGAAGATTAAGATTCATAGGATAACTTTGCTTAAAGACAAGTGGTTAGGATTCCAGGCGCTTATTTACATAGAATTTATATCACTCCTGATTGCCTTCCTAATGTAAGACTTGCTTTGTTTAATATATTTGGATAATAATAACCACCTTCCATGAACTTTGAATTCATAATATAACTAGCACCAGAACTTCATCATCATTTTGCATTGAAAACATTTTTTCTTAAAGAATAATTTATATTTTAAAACATTAATTTTGTTAAGGTATCCGACTACGTTCGGAAACGTGATTTGGAAAAAGTGTATAAATGGATAATATTTATGATATTTTAGTGTCACTTAGATTAGAAAATGTATATAAAATTGTTTTAAGAATAGTATTAAGTACAAAATTTTGACGAAAAATGAAAATAGAATGACCCATTTTCAAAATATTCTCCTTTTGTGAAAAATGCTTCTATTGTAATAATATTTTGCCTGTATATAGCTCGGACCTCTCTACAGAGGCTCAAATAGAAATTTTGAAATATATAACTTAGAAGTGGGTTTATCCATATTTTACGACAACAGAGGAGAGCAATTTTAAGAAAAAAACGCCGATAATTATTTCAGTCGGTGGTAACTCTGAAAATAATGTGAATTTTTCAAAACTCCTAGTTCAAACTCTCTGGAGAAGTCTTTACTTTATATATGCGAAACATTATTATTTTAGAAGCATTTATTATAAAAGGAAAACATTTTGAAAAAAGATTATTCTAAGTTAATTTTTTGCAAAAATATTGTATTTAAATTTTTTTGTCAAAATATCCTTAAAACAATTTTATATTTGTATTCTAATCTAAGTGACACTAAATATCATGAAAATTATCCATTTATGCACTTTTTTAAAATCACGGTTCCGAACGTAATCGGATACCTTAAAAGAACTGTCTCCTTTTTAACGCAATCCGCTAAACCTTGGCAACGTTGTGAAATAACAAGTCGCATGTGCAACAAATAAATACCCATTGCACCCTTGAAAATGGAAAAATATAAAATTATTTTAAGAATGGTTTTGTGTGAATTTCTTCCTGTTAAAGAGCGGAATCCATTAAAAAGTTCTCCGGTTTAAATTAATAGCATCCCAAGACCTTATTTGTAATATAAACGGTATTTTTAGGCACAATCTCTAAAAGGTTTAAATGAACGATTTGTTATCATTCATAAATAGGCTTAAAATTTTAATGATCCCAGGAAAATTTTGTGTTTTTGGACAAACACCGGGAACCCGGTTTCATTTTTAAAGTGTACATTTATTTTCATCCGTTAATGAAAGGAACTATCGGTAAGAAAACATTTCAAAAAAGCACCTTCCTGTCAAGTGAAAATTATTTTTTAAGACCTTTAAATCTTTAAGCATATCGCGGACCATAATTAACACGTTCACAGGCTGCACAGCATTCAACAAAATTTAACTAAAAATATCGTAGCTTACTTTTTGAAATTTCTCAATTTGCACATAAAAAAGTGATTATCAACAACATTCAATCGACACATCATTTCCCCCTCCAGTATAGCGGTTGATAACATAATAGCGCCTTATCCTAAATGTTTCGCTTCCAGAGGGGAAGGGGACATTAATTTGAACAATGTGTTAATGCTGCAAAACATTTATTTTTATTAAAAATTTTATGTTAACGATGACTCGTCTGTCTTAGGCCCTTGCAATCAATATGTATTTACATACATCGTTAAGGGATTCAGTGATTATTCGAAACAGAACTAAAGCTCAGAGTAACGGACTTCGCCTTTTCTGACCATGATCAGTGACGAGAACGACACCTGAGCTGGCACCTCGATCTCCAAACTTCCACGCCAATGTGAGGACGTGCAATCAACTCATCTACGCGTATAACGTGGAGAAGCTTAATTAAGAAATATCAAGCAGGAAGGGGAAAAAATATTTATTTCTAACTAATCAACCTCGTATTAGAAAAAATCGAAATTTTGCAATAACCGCTACATATTTCACTCGAGATAAGCACAGATTCTGAAATGACTCGCAATCGCGAAACCTATCGTTCACACACACATTTTTTTATTACAAAAAAAATATCTACTTTAAATTCTTTCTTTGTGGATAAAATAGTTATTACACATAATTTACTATCAAAAAATGTAAGTAAGAACTTAAGTTTTGAAAATTAACCGAAAGTATTATTAGCGTGTTGCAAATAAAAACGTAACAAGTCATTGCAATAAAAACAATCGCAGGAAATAAAAATAACAATGCAGCTGTTATCTTGCGAAAAATGCCGATATTGTTGTTCTCTCTTCGATAAGATCGTTCTTCCCTGTCTTACCCCCAGCAGAGTGCACGCAACCTTGTGCCAATACCCTTATTTCAGTTGGATAAAGCGCGAGAAATTACTAACGCAGTTTGCAACGATTTTTATTTTTACTGAACTGCTAATTATTCGAAAGAATTCAAGTTGAGGCAAAATTGACATTGTTATTGTTGCTAATACCTCGTCTGACGATGTCGTTGCAAAAAGCTAAATGTACACGTCCTTAGCCGTAGCTTTGAGCACCATACATGTGACAGTGTTATTTGGCACGATTAAAAATGCAAAAGGCCTACGGTGTTCTCAGATTTTCACTTATTTAGGTTACGTTTTAAATTAATTTTACGGCACCAAGAAACAAACTAAGCCGTCATTTATTCCAATACATAAATCTTTATTAATAGAACAGCAAATTAAGAACATTATTTACATTTATTCTTGTTGAGTAGTTCATATACTACTTCGCCAAACGATTGTGTGTGGTTTATTTATTGTTAACGTGGACGTAACACAGGTGGTCATTCTCCCAAGTACTAATGATGCTTAACTTGGGTGATCGGACGAGAACCGGTGTTTTCATCTTGGTATGGCCGTTGGAAAGCATGAGACATCGATGCAATAGGTCTTATTTCTGTTTTCACTTTCTAGGTTGCATTTTAATTTTGTATAAACTTATAATTTTTATTTCAATGCTTCTTTACTGGTCTCTCCAGGCTATAAAGGAGGATATTCAAATTATTCCCTTAGGTTTGAATGGTTGCTCATGCATCGTTTGTTTCCAACACACAGTTACAGTGAAGGACAACAACCCTATTTATTACACCAGGAACGGCTTGAGATGCTTTGAAGCCCCTCTGCAAAAATACCTGAGATCTTTAAAGCAGTATTTAGTGTCAAATACTCGTACAAAAAGTCATTTGAAACAAATAAATGGACACGACTCACCTATTCAAAAAAATGGCTCGACCGATGGCCGCATTTCGATTAAAGGAGTTGAATGATTGTTTATGGTATTAAGCCTAGATATGAACAATGGTCATCACATGATAATACAGTCTTACCACTTTTGAAATTCTCTCTTTTTCGGAGAATAACAGTTGACCCTTAAAATTTTCCGAATCATGATCTTATTAAGACAAAAACACTTATTTTATCAAACTACTCATTTTTATTCGAGTTGACACATTTTTTCTTTTATAAAATGTGTTTCGTATTTTTTCTCCTATACTGTAATACTAAATGAGTTTTCCTTTCACATGTTAAAAGGAAAAACTAATTACTTATGAAGTCATTTGAAACTTTAAAAACACTATATTATAAACAAATGAATGAGTTACAATGTCACAAATTTTTATAAATTTGAAGCATTTTTTCAGTCCGAAAATGTGCAACGCTCTCGTACATATGGCGGAAACAGTCTTAAGCTAATAACGAGAAATGAATAAAATAACGGCTTCATTCGAGTTGCAGAACACAAAGAACTTGTTATTTTATGCGTGGCTATCAATGAAGTCGACGAATTCTATGGATCTCATGGAGGCACTCTCAGGATAGTGAAAAATACAGTCAGACTCCCATTTCACGAACCTCTTTCTGGAAACTAGAACAGAATAGTATTGTAAGATTATTGAACGAATTTTCCGCATAACAAACTTTTTTCTGGATTTAACAGGACTTGGCACCTTAAAAATGACCGAAACATCATTTTTTTTGTATTTTATTTAATTATATTCTTTGCATTATTATCTTTCGATTGATATATGAGTTTCGTATGCTTGAAAATTAGAAGTTGGAAAAAACTTCAATTGAAAAATGTAAACGAACAAATTAGGAAATTCGACCACGCCCCATTTTTAGATAAAAAAAAGCTAAAAAAAAGCTTTTTGATAAAGAAAAGCTATTTTAAAAAGTGAAATGATAACTAAAAAAAAGAAAGCGTTACAAATAAAGTAGGATATTTCTGAAGTATTACATTAATGTAACTTTTTTTCTTTTGAGATGTGTGCTTAAAAATTTTTTTAGTTAAGCTATTTTGTATTCATAATTTTATAATTTCAATTCCTATTCATCATATGTTTTTCATAAAAAATATAATATTTCAATATTATGTGAAGCAAAAAACTTTAAAATTTCTGTTATAACAAAAAGATTTCTTTTTACATTTTCCTTGAGTTTTCTTATGCAATAATACTCACTAAAAAGAGATACTTTATAAAGTATATGGGGTGACATGAAAATGCTATTATTTCTAAGAAAAATATATAGTTAATATTTTTAAAAAAAGTGATATTTTATTTTTTTATTTTTCTTTATAATAATTATTTTTTTAGAATTATAAACTTTAAAATGGCTTTTCTCAATTTGCTTTCTTTGTATTCAAAATGCTTCTCCTTCCACAATTATTAACCAATCACTTCCATTTTTTCATGTGTGTTATATATGATGCATGTGTAACAAAATTAGGGATCAATTTTGCTGTAAATGCTTTTTTTTTAAAAAAAAATTTTTAATGTAGGAGATTTTGGCCTTTTTGTTGAATTTTTAGGATACATATCAGCATTTTATTTTTTTTCTCCAAAACTAATTAAGTTATTGTAAAATCGATCCCTAAAGTTGTTTAAAATATCCTTAGAAATGTTTTACAAAAAAAATTGCAAGTCAAAAGATAAATAATTACAAAACAAATATAATTTTTTTAAAAAATTTCAAATTTTCTTCAAAAAACTTAAATTTTTAAAATTGAGCGAATAATATTTGCTAAATTTCATCTCGTATCATTTTCTTAAATAGAAACATTATATAAAATGCTAAAATGTAATTTTTAAATACAAAAATAAAAAAAAAGGTGCCAAGTCCTCTTAACGACTTGGTTAAATAGAGATGCGACTGTATATGAAAAGTTAATAATTAAAATTATGGACTACTCGTTTGGAAAAAACAAATATAAAATAAAAAATAAGGTTCCTGGAGGAATAGCATTGCTTGCGTTGTAATATTGTGTAAAAAAAATTAATACACAATTTTCGGTGCTGATCCTACACAAATAACCCTGTTACCACAAGTTAGTGAGAGGTCAGCTTAATTCGATATTACGGGAACAGTAGAGACGGGTGCAGGGGGGAAAACTCAGCACTCCGTCGCTTCAGTAAACAGATTCATTTTGAACCCCAGTTGTATAAAATAGCTTATGTTCAATCTGTCTTGAATTAGAAACGACCTCCTGAAAAAGAGTGTGTACGGAGCTATCAGAACCACTACAGACGAGATTGGGGGAGGGGGATGATACGAAGAGAGAAATTACCGAAAACAGCGAACTCGCAGAGGAAATAATATTTAAGTTTTTTAAAAAGAATTAACCATTTCTATATTGGACGCTGTTTTATTGCACAATATTCCATTTTTGTAATTTCCGTTGGATAATAAGATACCTCAGAAGGATTATAATTTTTTTGAAGAGTATGAGAGTTTCGTGTTAAATTATTACGGATTAGTAGGTTTACCAAATTCGCTTGTTTGGTAATTTTATTTTTTTTAAGGGATTGAATTTCTTTTTTTAAACCTTAGTTCAGATTTTATTGATTTCGCTCACCTAATGGGAAATGTGATAAATCTGGTAACGACGGAACAAAATTGTTTCTCAAAAGAGTAATAAAATGGGCGTTCGAATTTTTTTATTGTGGATTTTACGTTGTGAATCCGAACTAACATTAGGATAAATCATTCAGACTGTTTTTTTTAATAATAACAGATTGCGAATTTCAACTGTTTTATTTTTAATAAATGATTGCATATGCTTATTCCCATCCCACAATAAACTGATTAATTTTTTTAATATTTAATTCTTCTTTCGGCCTCAAATGTTTGTAAATAATAAGTAGGAAAATACTTATTATGTTTTTTTTTTAATTTCTTTTTCTTTCGGCAATTTGAAATTCTTCACATTTATTTTTTTATCCTGGTACTTATACTCTTCAGCACCGTTTTACATGGAAAAGATAAATAAATTTATTCTTATTCCACTTTTTAAATCATTATAAATATGATTGCAACTCTGCAGTCCTAAATTGCTTCATCAAGTTTCAGTAATATTTTTTTATTCTTCATATCTTGTTTCTTTTAGTGCGAGGCGACCATCTTGAATAAAATCTACATTCCCATAATTCACTGCTTCTTAAACACATGCAACTATTCTAAAAATTCTATCAATTCAAATAAAAATATTTATAATTGAATACAAAAAAGGCTTTACCGAAATTGTGCAGTGAGCATGATATTGATTAAGAATTGAGACATAATTAACGTCAAACTTTGAAACTACACTAGGGCCGTTGGCGAAGCGCCTCTTAATATTAAAACAAAGCCATATGAAGAGGACGGTGCTTTAATGGTACTCGCTATGAAAACTTTCACAACACGTCAACGGGGCCATCGACGCGTTGAACGCACCTCAACTTCTATAAAGAGACCAGAGCCATCAAGACTTGAATCCCATTTCAACAACGCCGGTCACGAGTTTGTTAGAAACATATGGATACTGAGGCCCTAAAATGACTAGAAATGATAACGAAAAATACAGCTTTATATTCTTACTTAAGAGAAATATTTAAAATTTAGTCTTATGGATAATAAAAATATTGAGAATTATTTGTCTTAGTAATAATTAAAAAATATCACATTATATAAGTATTTATAAACTTCTGGAATCATTTCCAAAGACAAAGCTATTCAGAACCCCACAGCATATAACATTATTGAGGCTAGTTGCTCGTACGATTAGTTATTCACAAGGAAGCCTACCAATTAACACATTTTCTTTGAAACACTTCTTGGACATTTGAAGCAGTACAAACTGGATATTTCACAATTGTAGATAGCAAAATTATCATTATATAAAATATTATAACCCCATTTTGTTTTAATTTCAAGCACAGTTGTTTTTATTACAATTCTCTTACGTATAGTAAAGAATCATTGGATGTCCTGTAGAGCTCTTTAATATTCCTTGTTTTAAATGAACTTCTATCGAGTTTTATAAACGACAGAGAAATTTCTTTTCAATTAGAGGCAAATAAATTTTTTCATTGAATAACAACGCTAATGGAAAATGTTTGTGGAATATTATGGTGCATTCGAGTTAAAAACACACACATTTATTCCTTTTAATCAACATGTAAAAATACTCTAAGAAACTGCTGATAATGATGGATATTTACGCTCGTAATATATTAAAAGTAAAAAAGTAATAATATTAAAAGCAAACGCAATAATTTTTGTTATTTTATCTTACACGAGCTCATTAATTCTTAAGAAACTACAAAATAACTTGAAACTGAAGGCATCGTTCATTTTTGCTGTTTTAACACAAAATATAAAAACTCTCCAATTTCCGTCATATATATATAAAGCTGGAGCTAAATAAATAGTTTAGAAATCGAATAACCGCAAGTTTCCAATATTCTTTTAGAAAAAACAAATCTTTTTTAGTGAACAATCTTTCTCTGAATCCCTCATTCTATTCTATTCCCTCTAAAAAATGTCATAAAACATAAATATCCTTTTTAGAACTTTTGTTGTTAATTTCTGCCATAATTTAT